TTCTACCAAAAGCATGAATCACAGCTGTGCAGACAGAATGAGATGTATTTCCAGATTCAGCAGCAAAAATTATGATTTGTGGAAGATGAAAATAATAAATTCGACTTCAATAAAACTCGAGACTTTGCATTGCAGAAGACCCAGCTGGGATAATGCAAAGTTAAGTACTGGACATGGATAAACTGCAAATCTTGCATCCAGTGAGGCAGATTTATGAAGATTTCTACCCTTGACCTCTTTGCCTCTCTCTCTCTCTACGAGTACTGTTACAACTGAAATTAAAATAAAACTGAGCCTAGGGCTGAAACTCAGTAACAGAACACTTGACTAGCATACTGGAGACCCCTGCATCCAACCCTCAGTGTTGTCAGGAAATAAAAACAGAACAGACACTGGAGGTTTTCTTCACAATGCTTTATGGAACGGAGATGGTCTGTAGGCATGGTGCTTTCCACTCGAGCATGAGGATGGATCTGCACAGAATTATCGTGACTCTTTCCTGCATTGCCGTGCATGAAGGACTCCGGACCCATAGGTGATATATGTGCTTTCCCACTTATGTGGTTATCTGGAGAATGTTCAGTGACAGGGCAGATTCGTTCTCGAGGGTTCAGCCAAATGCTAAGAGCTTTGTAGTCATCAGAGCAGTATGTGCTTTATGCAAAAGACTTTTAAAAAACACCCAGAAATTCATAGATCTGAAGACAGATTTGGAGGACGATGAGCATATCTAACTGACAAGCAATGACAAAATTCACATTTTAATCCAGAACTGGGCATCGAGCACTGGGACTCTGCCGCAAATTATGCAAGAGTGACCAGAGGGGTTGCTTGGCCAGCCACGTGGTGGTGCCAGAGGGCCTTATACGAAACCCCACAAGTCAGTTTAGGTGAAATCACCCAGCGCATCGGAGCCAGCCTCTCCACCCAGCGTGGGTGAGCAACTTCTGTATTCTGTATGGTTGTCACATGAGATGAAGCAGGTTCATAACTCAGCTGTGACTCACTAGGAGAAATGGAGCAACGGGGACACTCAGGAGGCTAGTTGATCCTAGTCCTAACCTCAGAGTCCCCTTCTGGGCTTCTGCATAATGAATTCTGACTGTCCTGGCCATTGTCCCATGTTTCCCAGAATTGATTAGAACCTTTACTGGTCCATGACTTGAATGGCTAAGAAGGAAAATATGCAAACAAACATAACCATGCTGGTTTCAGTGGGTGGGGACAAACAGATGGCTCCAGCTTGGCTGGATTGTTGGAGAACTCTCCAAAAGAGGCTCCTACCCAGATACCCATCAGTTCCTTGTAATGAAGACCTCTGAGCTCCCTGGTGCCCGACTCATCCTGCATCTGCTGTGCCTTGGCAATGATCAAGGTGCACTGTCATCCTCAGGGCTCTGCTCTCTGTGGCCATATACTTCACTATCGTGCAAGATATTTACTTTCCCAATGCCCAGCCTTACCTGACTTGAGATGGTTATGTGATTTCTGTCTTTGAGTCCATTTATGTGATGAATTACATATATTGATTTACATATGTTGAACCATCCCTGAATCTATGGGATGACTCCAACTTGATCAAAAGAATGATCTTTCTTTATATGATCTTGAATTCAGTTTGCAAGTGTTTTATGGAGAAGATTTGCATCTATGTTCATCGGAGAGATTAGTCTGTAGTTTTTGTGTATGTGTGTGCTTGGTTTTGAAATCAGGGTAATATTGGTTTCATCAAAAGAGTTTGGAAGCATTCTTTCCCTTTATATTTTATGGAATAAATGAGTAGTGTTAGTATTATTCTTCAAAGATCTGATAGAATTCTCTTGTAAATACATCTGGTATTTTTCTCAGTTGAGAGATTTATCATTATTATTATTATTATTATTATTATTATTATTATTATTATTATTACTTCAATCATGTTGCTGGTGATAGGTCTGTTTGGATCATTTATTTCTTCTTAGTTTAACTTTCATAGGTCATATGCTTCTAGAAAATCATCTATTTATTTTAGATTCTCCAGTTTAGTGGACTATAGGTTTTTAACAGTATGTCCTTATGATTATCTGAATTTCAATGGTATCTGCTGTAATGTTTCCCCTTTTATCTCTAATTTTATTAATTTGTATACTATCTTTTTCATTTGGTTAATTAGGCTAAGGGTTTGTCAATCTTCAAAAAACTAACTCTTCCTTTATTTTGTGTCTTATTTTTAAGTTTTTATTTCATCAATTTTTTTACTGCAACCTTAATTATTTCTTCCAGTATATTGCTTTGGAGTTTGGTTTGTCTTTATTTTGCTTTAAGGTATGTAATTAAGTTATTTATTTGTGTGCTGAGAGCAATACACTTTCCTCTTAGGACTACTTTTATTGATTCAGATAATTTTGGAATACTGTGTTTTCATTTTCATTCCATTCTAGGAATTTTAAAAAATTTCCTTCTTGATTTCTTCAATGACCTTGTCATCATTCAGTCATGTGTTATTAGTTTCCATGAGTTTATGTACTTCCTGTAGTTAGTTAGTATACTTCCTATAGTTTGCGTATTTCCTGTAGTTAGTTTGTGTATTTTCTATAGTTATTTTGTGTACTTCCCATTATTTATCTTGCTGTTGTTACTTAGCTTTATCTTGTTGTGATCAGATAGAACACAAAATATGATTTCAAACTTTATGTCCATGTATGTGGTCCACTTTTCAGAAAGTGTCCTGGGCTGCTACAAAGAATGGCAATTCTTTAGTGTTTGGGTGGAACGTTCTGTAGAAGTCTCTTGGGTCCATTATAATGTCATTTAACTCCAATATTTTATTTCATTTTTGTCATCCAGATGAACTATTGGTTAGAGTGAGGAATTGAAGCCACTTATTACCATATTGGGGTTAATCTGTGATTTTTACATCTATTAGTATTTGCTCTACTAAGCTGAATGCTTTTTGGCTTGGTGTGTCTATGTTTAAAACTACAAAACCTCCTTGATGGATTTTTTTCCCTTAGTGAGTATGAAATGACCCTCCTTATGTCTTCTTACTAGCGTTGCTTCAAAGTCTGTTTCACCAAACATTAACATAGCCACACCTGCTTGTTTCCTAGTCTCATCCACTAGGATACATCCATCCCTTTACCTGAGTCCTTGTCTTTGCTAGTGAGGTGTGTTTCCTGGAGGTGACATAAAGATGGATCCTGTTTTCTAATCCAAAGTTGTAGTCTGTTTCTTTTTACTGGTGAATTAAGATCATTAATATTCAAAGTTATTATTAAAAGATGTATTAATTTCTGTCATTTTGTTGCTTTGTGGTGTTTTTACAGACTCCTTTAATTACCTATCCTGGTATTAATTTTTCCCTGTGGCTTCTAGGGCATATACATCCTTCTCTCCAGTTCAAAGTGTTCCTTTTCAGTATCCTCTGTAAAGCTGGCTTAGTGGTTATAAGTTCACTTTGCCTGTTTTTATTATGAAAGTCTTTTATTTTTCTTTCAATTGTGGTAGATGGAATTGCTGGGTGTAAGTCTGGCTGTCTTCACTGGACAATTTTGTCTGTATATCAGCTTTCAACTTGCACTGTTAATTTATATTTTTTCATAATTTCAAAAATTGTCCAATGAAGACAATCAAAGCAACTTCTAGGTTCACTCTCATATCTCATATTCTTTCCGGTGCTGACTAGACTATCTTTACCATGAAGTAACTTGCATGTTTGTATGTAATACAAAGACACACACACATATGTGGGTGTACATGCATGTGTGTATGGAAACCATAGGTCAACACTGAGTATCTTCCGCTCATGAGCTCTACCTTGTTTCTCGAGGCAAGGTCTATCACTAGCCCTAGAAATCACGGATTTGGCTAGACTGGCTGCTCCAAAAGCCCAGGGATCCCCACACATCCATCTCCCCAGTGCTGAGGATCAGGCACACACACACACACACACACACACACACACACACACACACACACACACTACTGCAACTGACTCTTTAATGAGGTTCTGAGGTAGAAGCCAGGGCCTCACTTATGTATCAAGTACTTTACTCACTGAGCCCTGAAGTAACATTTTGGATACAACTTTAGTGTTTGTGTCAAGAAATTTGTGTAAATCAGTGTAAATCAGTTTGCCTAAGGAAGCAGTCTGCTCATTCAGGCTAACTTTCTCTGTTGGAGCATCATGCCACTGCTCTGAGCAAAAATGTCCATTTGCTGAACAGCAGTAAGGCCATGACTGCACAGCTCAAATTCTTGTTGGCCAGTGCTCACCAAATCACAAATTCTCCCTGATTCCAGATAGTTTTTACCCTGAAAGACTCAATCCAACCTACTCTTTCCTCCCACTTCTGACACTGTCTCTGAGACACTTGGGCTTGCTTGAGTAACCAATGCGTGTTTTTCCTGGCACAATAACTGCCCAATCTTGACAAAACTCAGCGAAAAAATAAGTAAAAAGGAAAGGAAATTTCTGGTGCTGGGTTTTGGTGCCAGATAAATGAAAAAAAAAAAATAAAAAGGAAAGGACAAGACTGCTCCTAGGTATGGTGGAGGAAAAAGCTTCTTGGAGACGAAAGGGAGAACAAAGTCAGAGGCAGGGACGTCTGGGAGAGTCCAGAGTGGACATGACCAGACTGAACCAGACCATGTGAGGAGATGGGGGAGAGGGGAGGAGCCAAACCAAGAGCCCAGGAGGGTAAAAGGTAGATGAAAGAGAGCAGGCAGCCAAATGGCTGCATTATACAGGGAAGGGCAGCTGGGAGAAGAGTAGCCCAACCCCTAGACTGGAGAAGTTTAGGGTAGGGGGCAGAGTATGCCAGCAGGGAAGACCCAGTAACAGGTAGGACTAAGGGATGCCAAGAGAACCTGCTGGCCAGGTCCACTTTGATATGTTAAATGGGCAGCTCAGCCTTAGTCCCGGTTTGAGATCTAACAAAACTGTGTGTTCAGGTGATCTTATTACAGATTTGTGTCTCCCTTTAGTTCTCTTCCTTACGATATGATGTTGATTCTTCCAGGCTCCTGTGTCTACAGAAGAAGAGCAGTGACATTGATCCCTGGGTACCTGAGAATCCCTGGAGAGACCTCAGACCTAAAACATCAGAAGACTCTTGAGAAGCCGTGACTGGCCATTCCCTCTTCTTCAGGGCTTCTTGCATAGTTTCCTCTTTGCTAAAGAAAAAGCATTTTCTAGAGAACATTATGCTGCTCAGGTGGGCCCTTGTGTGAGATGGGGAGAAAGTAGCACATTTATCTTTTTAAAGACACAAAGCCATTGTCACATTAACTTGGTGCATATTTCTGAGATACCATGTGATGTCTTGAGACCTGTCCAACTGTGTAATGCTCAGAATATGATAGGCACTACTGTCTCCTCAAATGCTGTGTGTGGGTGTGGTGGTGGTGGAAGTGGTGGTAGTGGTGGTGTATGTGGTGGTGGTGGAGGTGGAGGTGGTGGTGGTGGTGTGTGTGGTGTGCACGTGGAGGCCAGAGGTCTGCATCTCTATTGCTCTTCACCTTGTTGTTTGAGACAGGGTCTCTTCACTGAGCCTGGAGGTTTGTAATTTTGCTAGATCAGCAGGCCAATAAGCCAAAGGGATTCACCCATCTCTGACTCCATCCCAGAGTTGCCACATTCAGATTTTATCTGAGTTCTAGGGAATCTGAACTCAGAAACTGGTGATTATACACAAGCATTTTATCTATAGATGCATCCCCTGGGCTTTCAGTAAGTTGAGGTCAAAAGTTATAGCTTTTGAAGACTTGGTAAAAACTAAAAACTAATTCAGAAGATTCACTCAAACTTATATAGCATTCAAATTTCTATGGAAGTGTGATAAATAGACTTTTCTTACCAGAATTTACTCACGAATTTCCAGGATATGTGGAAATACCAAAATTACAGGTGCCATTATACTTTAGGAGAAATTAAAATTTTGGTAGTTTTATTTCAATATAATTCATATACCATACAAGCCAGTGGTTTTTAGTGGTCTGTGCTATGCAACCACAGGATAATTTTAGAACATTTTGTTCTAAAAGAAAACATACCTATGAACAGTCTCTCTGTTTTGCCAGCCACATGCCTTCCACCCCATCCAACCCTTGGCAACCATCATCTACTTGGAGTCTGCATGGGCTGGCAGAGTCTGGACATTTCATACTAAAGGAATAATGCAATGTGTGGTCTCTTTATCCTTTCAAAGTTCTGTATTTGATCTAGATAGGGTATCTAAATGAATCTATGGAATAGTTTTTCTACATTAAGTTTATTATAAAAAGCTTGGAAATAAAAAAAACACACACTGAAATTAACCAGACCCCAAGTCGATACATCATGAATTTCTATATAGTTAGAATAGCCATTTTGAAGCTGTGGAGCTTCATATTGAATTTTATGCTTTCATAATCAAATCTATTTTTGTGTATTTATTTATCTGCCACCAAACCCCAAAACTCCATAACAGAATTAGAACTAGAAAAACAATTAGCTTTCCATAACTCCTGTCCATGACCTGCATTCAGGTAATGGAAGAACTCTTCCTGTTACCCTAGTATTTAGCTCTTTCCTTCATGCTACAGCAATGTGCCACATGCATATTTGTTTACCTACATACATATACTATTGGCTAGGTTCTTCATATGAGAAAGACTATGCGATTTTCTTTCTGATATTCTGCAAATCTTTAAGATATATTTTAAGAAAATTTTGAGTTACTTCTTATGAGAATACAAATCATGAAAATACATATTAATACATAACACTTAGCAAAAATAGATCCATAAACAAATTTCTTTGAAAAATCCAGCTGTTGGAAATAAACACATCTTGCCTAAAAGGAGAAATAAAATTAGAGGAAAAAGAAGTGAATTGATACTCGGTTTCTTGTTGGGAAAATTCAAAGCCAGTTATTGGTCATGAATAAAAGGCTATCAATTCTGGTCAGAGGAAGTATTTTGAGAGGGACTTGTAATATTCATGAAGATTACACATGGAACAAAGTTATGTTTTTATGAGATGAATTAAACTCCTCTGATTCCTGCCAGGCCTACAGAAGCTTTGGGGTCGTGTGCCACGGACTTCTCTTCCTGTGCAGTCCCCCTCCCTCCTACCATTTCTGTTACTGCTAAAGCACACAGAGTGTGCTGTATTTGCCTCCAAACCAGCAAATACGTTCTCCAGATCTCTCTTCACCAAGCTCCAGTAATCCTGTGGTGAGCGCCCTGGCCCTCAGCAGACAGAGGATTTAATCTTCCACTTGTTCTTGAATCTCAGACAAGTCATTTCGGTTTTTCTGACCCTCAGATTCCTCATTTATGAAACATAGGCAAAGATTCAAAACTTTCTGCCTTATTCTAATGATTAATTAACACAGCCAAATGCTTAGTCTGAAGTCTGGCCTGCTCTGGGTCCTCTGCAAATACCACTTGGAGTACTTCCCAGAGAAGATTTTTAGACAAAGATGATTAAAGAAAAGATTTAAGTTAACTCACCTGCAACTTCTGCAGGCTGTCCCAAGCTATCTGGTTTGTGCCCCGACTGCTCTTTAAGTGTACCATGAATCTTCATTAGTGAGAAGCCATCAAGTGGGAGCTCAGTCCCTGTGACTCTTGAAGTAATGGCCTTTGACCCTTCCACTCTGGAAACCAACTGCTCAAGGCTCCTTAAACCCTCTTTGGGGTGTCCTCCACCCTCTTCTTGGAGTGCAGTGTTTTGGAGCACATAGCAAGATGTTGATTTGAAGGCAAAGAATGGAGTTTTTACAATGTAAACATCCCTGTTTTTCAAGATGCAGGGCTCTGCAGAGACCTAAGGCAAAGGGAAAAGGCTTTTGTAAGCATCTTTACAGCTTCATGCTCCTAGATGCCTGGATGCATAGCCAGGAGGAGAGTGTGCTCTTCCTATGGGGACAGGGTCCTGATAACTCACACCCTGTGAGCAGCCTACCGCAGCCATGATGTGAGCAGCCTACTGCAGCCATGGTGTGAGCAGTCTACC